TTGCTATTCCACACAAAGCGAGGTTCAACGCAAACCTATGTGTCTAGTTTTTGATAGTGGAACCCCCTCGCAGGGGGGACGGAACATACTGTCTCATGCATATACTTTTTAATGCAAAATAACGTTTCACATGGGTTTACAACTTTCCATTTTATATTTACGCATTAAAAAGTATATGCGTGGAGACAGTATGTTCCGCTCCCCCCTGCGGGGGGGGGCTCCACTATTACGAAACTAGACACATAGATTTGCGTTGAACCTCGCTTCGCGTGGAAAATGGAAAAATTCCAGAAGCTTCGTTTCCAGAAATGTAAACAAACACTTTTTCCACATCTGCTTTACACAAATACAACGTAAACAAACTTTATTTTTTCTTATTTTATAACAGAAAAAGCATTAAAATTGTGAAACTTTAAAATTGCATATCTCTGGAACCAGAAGAGAGCGCCACAAAATTCAAAGTGTGTATTACTTAGGAATGTGCCCTCTATAATATATGTGAAAATGAAAATGATCCGTAAGGTATAAGTTAATCTGAACATTTACCGAATTCAGTATCCAGACGTCAATAAACCTAATAAAATCTAATAAAAATACTCGATTTTCATGTAAAAATAATGGAGACGTAAAAGGCCAAAGCACATAGACATTTCTCCTAAATTTTCTAGGAAGAATGTAGAATATAAGATTAACTGCAATAATTGTGATGCATCTTATGTTGGACAAACAGGAAGACAATTGAATACGAGAGTGACGGAGCATCAGAATCATATTAGAGAAGGAATATTTTTAATATCTCAGTTATAATAGATCACAGACGTGAATTCAATTACAATTTTGACTGATTGAGACGGGGTGGAGGTTTTGGATAACAAATCCTTTTTTAATAAAAAATTAATCTCGGAAATGGTAAATATAAAAACATAATTGTTAATAATGGTTTAAATCTGCAGACTTACACGGAATGTTTATCTGACGCCTACATGTATGTTATCGACAAGCTTCTAAAACTTTAAATACCATTCTATTTTCGACTGTATATATCATTATACACAATTAAAATTCAAGATAAAGGCAATCAGAGCCAAGCGCGTTAAGTGGAGCGCAACAAGCTTTATTTTGTGATCAATCTCTATAATAGAGTATACAAAAACCGGACGTTTCGGCTCCTTCTTCGGGCCCTCTTCAGCGCAAAACAATTACAATTAGCTTATGACATAACGGTTGTGTGTTCCTATTCGGCTAGTAAACATGGTTGTAAATAAAATTAATAAATAACGGTCGTGAGTTCTTAGTCGATATAATAAAAATAAAAACATGGTCGCCAATAAAATAGATAGAAATAAATAAATAAATAATTTAATTTTTATAAATAATAAAAAATTAGACAAACAATTAAAAGTGGAGATCTGTTCAAAATTGAACTCCAATAATTACTAAGAGCAACTATAAGACCACTCCAATAAAGCGCCGATTAATCGCGCTCGAAATTCGGCGCGTCAGCCGCCATCTCGCGCGTCGCACGGCGCGCGACAAATAGGAGCGCGCTCCAAAAGCGGCGCTACGCGAATCGCGCCCGGCCCGCGGCATCGCTCGTGCCTATCGATGCGGGCCACGCAGCGGTCACCCGAGAGAGCCGAAATTAATAACAAATTGCAATAACAACGTTCAATTTAAACTAATCATCGCAAACAACAACCGGCGCGATCTTTTGTGACAAACACGTCGAATATTCTAGAAGCAGCAAAAGAACGGTTGTATATAAGCTCTCTCGGGGAACCGCCGGGGGCACTCGATCCGATAATTTTGACGAGACAGTGTGTGATTTTTGTACGGAGACGTTCGCTAGCAAAAGTTAAAGTAGCTCGCTTTTCTTCTGTTAACCATCGCTTGTGGTTCGCGAAATCTCGCGCCTTCGAGAATATTTGTCGCTCGCGAATATTTGCTACGAAATTCTATCCGTCGCTCGCGGGTTATTCCGTCGCTCGTGGAATCGCTCCGTTTATACCGTTGCTTGCGGTATTCGATATATCCGTCGCTCGCGG